CGCGTCTCATGGAGTGCTTTGAGTCGACGAGCGCGTCCTTGGCGCCAGTGCTCTTGAGTTGGACGCACACACTATTGGCGCAGTGTGCGCTCGACGCGCTCTCGACACAGCTGCTGTTTCGCCCGACGTGCGAGCTCCTCAACGTCTTGGTGCAAACCCAGCCGTCGGCGGCGTCGACCCTCTTGACCGAGGTACATACTCTCTTTGCAGTCGTCGCGTTGCCACAAAATGGTTGGATATCCATGTCATGTATCGATCATTAGGTGCTCCCTGAGATTCTCCAGCTCCACACGAGGTTTGCTCGACCTATTTTTTGTGAAAAAATTACGAGATGACAATCTGTCCATTTAGTGTCTTTGTGACGTCGACCGACTACCACAACGATATTGTCGAATGGAACACGCTCGCAAACGTCGTGCTCGACCAGCTTTTTCCAGCGCTCCCGAGCGCGCGCCAGCTCATGACGGCCACCGCGTCATCGACGCCGTCGCGCGGCTTGACGTCGCGTGTGCCACCAGCGGCGTGGAGGGCGTTTCTCGAAACGCTGCCGTCGCTCGCGGACGTGGCCTCCATCGCAGCGATCCTCCCGGCCCTCTACCGCCTCGCAGTGGTCGAGTACGACGGCGATGTCGCGAACGAGACGTTCGATCTCTTCCTCTCGCATCTCCTCGATGGGTACGACGTCGTGTGTAGAGGAATGTCATGACAAAGGGTGTAGCTTGCGCGCCTTGCCGTGGGACCACCCAAGCCAGCTCGAGCTGGGCCATGGCCTCGTCGAGAGCATCCGGGACCTCTTGATCGCCGCGCATTTGCAGCAGCAAGCTCTGGCGCCGGACGCTGACGTGTTTTCGACGCTCGAGGCGCTCGTGCACAAGCTTCCCGTACGCTTGATTTTTTCTTCTTTTCTGGAAATATGGAGAGGCATGCTAGGAGCTTGCGAAAGACCGCATGTTTAAAGGCGTCAAAGCCATGCTGCCCGACCTCCGTGACGCCACGACCGAGGTACACATTGTCCATCGAATCCGTCGTCCTCGTATCTCATATAAGACATGTAGGCATTTATTGCGCTCATGTATTGCATGGGACGCGATTTTTGGGACCTCCAAGCGGCGTTCGTACGGGACGTGGCCATGAAGCTCGCGGATCCGCTTGTGTTTGGCGACGTGCTCTTTGTGCTGCGTCCGTCCCTCGACGCCAAGTACGAACCGTACGAGCGTCTCGTGGCGACGACCGTGGCGATGCTCCAGAAGGGCCTCCAGCAGCTCCATCGGTATTCCAAGGTAGTAGATGGATAGGTTGCGAGTCGTATACTAGGATCTTACACGTGTCTGTAGCCCATGGCACAGCGGCTTCTTGGGTCGGTGGGCCATACGGTCGCGGGCGCCGGACCGTTCATCGCGCCGTATGTCGCGGACGTGGCCGAGACGCTCGTGGACCTCTACGGCACGGGCTCGATCTCGCTTCAAGACCTTTTCGTCGTCGCGCTGACCCATTTGTATGTCGCGTCGCCCTTCACAGTATGGACAGATTGTCCGTTTCGACAACGACAAGTTGACCAATCATATGTTGTAGGAGACGGATCTCGTGCATGGCTACTGCGACATTCTCTCGACGTCGGTGCTGGACACCAAGGCGTCGGGCCTCGAGAGCTTAGCCATGCTCTTGGCCAAGGATGCGCCGTGGGTGATCCGCGCGCTGCCTGCACCGTTTTGGACGGCGTTCCTGGAGACGTGCACGGATGCGCTTGCGTCGTTTCCCGTGTTTGAAGAGGACGTGCCTGTGATCGTGCGTCAGCTGCAGCTCTGCACGCAATTGCTACCGCACCAAAGCAACATGGACGCGTGGAACACCAACGTACTCTTGCCGCTGGTCGTCCATTTCCACGACGTCGTCCGCGACGAAGGGCTGATCGAGGTCCAGGACGCGTCCAAGATGCTGCTGGACGCGCTGCAACGCCGTTGTTCAGCAGACTAGTTGTTTTGCTATTACTAGACGACGCTACTCTGTCTGTAGCGACCATACGCAGCGTTGATAGTCTCTTTAAAATGGACGTTAAGAGTTGGCTGACTGGTGTGTGAGCTCGGCAAGCTCGGCGCGGTACTGCTCTAGATTCGCTGTCAGCCTATCTGCATAGAGCTACTCGGCCACATGAGTTGACGATTTGACAGAGTCTTGGCGTCATACCTGCAGAGAAGGCGCGAGCGACGCAAGCGCTTGCCACATGGGCTGCAGCACGTAGCCAACAAAGTTGACTTGAACGTTGTAGCGCGTTGCCTTGGCCTCGAGGTTTTCCATAAATGGAGCGATCGGGAGCTGCAAGCTGGCCTCTTCTTTCGCCTGGTTTTGAAACTCATCCAAAGCGCGCTCGCCCCACTTGATGGCGAGCTTGAACGGAAGGGCTTGGGCACTGAGGTCGCAGCTGTGTACAATCGACTCCATTAAAAACGTTCTACATCGTTGTCAACCTCGGATGCGTCCGTAGAGTATTCTTGTACCGGTTCGAGTGGTCGGTCCACTGGCTACGTGGCATGTTCTCCATAACCTTGACTTGGGCAAAGTGATTCGTCATATCGGTCGCCATGATGCAGCGAATGATGTTGCGGCGCACTTGGCGGAACGCGTCCGAGGACAACTTGTCCAAAATGTTGGTGGACGGCGTGCTCAAGATGATAAATGTGACGCGGCAGTGGTGGCGCTCGAGCACCGCGTCGTCGTTGTGCGTGAGCGCAATGGAGCTCACACACTTGACTTCAAAGTCGTTGTTGTTGCCCGGGTGGTCCACGTCTACCACAAGAAATCCATTGGATCCATATGGAAACCAGTTTTGCATCCATACCGTGACAAAGCGCGGCAAGGAGCACCGAGAAGATATCGAGGCTCGGCAAGAGCTTGCGGGCAAAGAGCTTAATTTGCATGTGCGCTGCGTGCATGACCTGGAAGCCATGGTAAAAGTTGTGGTATGGATTTGCGCGATAGTGCTGCGCGACGCTTGCGACAAAGGCTTGGAGCTTCTCGGGCTCAATGCCATACTGGTCCACAAATCCATACGCACGGAGGAGCGCTTGGGCCGAGACCAAGACCTCGCTGAAGCTGAACGAGAGAATGTCGAGGTCCCACGCGTCGAGCTCCGGTCGCGACGGCACGTGGACATCACGTCCGAACGCATCCGACTGCTGCGACTCGGTGGCGCCGGCGTCGTACTTGGTCGTATTGGCACCCGACGTGCGACGGCTGTATTTCTGAAGCAGACTCGAAATGATGCCGGCTTCGGTCACCTCGTCGCTTCCACTCGAGTGCTTGTCGCTGACAACCTACGCATATCCATTGCCTTGAAATCCATATCGTATTTGTAAAAGGCACCACATATAAATAATGACACTAAAGCAAGGAAAAGACAAGAAAAGACAAGAAAATCCGACATGGAATGCACGTCAACATGCCCGGTGTCGTACCTTGTAGTAGCACACTTCCAGCGACAGCTTGCCGAGCGCGTACTGAATTTCTTTGCAGAAGCGCCCCATCGTATTGCGGTCCTCGCTTGTAAACGCAATCACGTGGGATCCCTGGAGCTTGTTGATGCACATGGCCACCGCAACCACTTTTGGGTTGGTCGGGGCATTTTCCTCAAAAACGGGCATGCACAGCACGCTCTTGGTGCGGTACCCCGTCATCGAATCGTGCGTCGGATCAAAGAGGTTGTGCGTGTCTACAAAACAACGCTTGATACATTGACACAAAAGACAATAGTGTAGTACATGCGTCGCGCGTACACACGGTGTCCCCGGTCGTTGCCACAAGCCCCGAAATGCCCTTGTAAATGGGCTGGCGCACAGTGATTTCTTCGCCATTGGTTTGGTTCGTCGAAGTGATCCAGAGCTCGTTCTTGAGATGGTCCACGAGCAAAAAGCCAAACCGGTCGCACTCCTACATGGCCACAGAATATTGTCTTGACCTCCAACGATAGACAAACAAGTACAATGTACCATGATGGTCTTGCCTTGCGCCATGATGAGGTCCGTCAACCGGTGAATGTCGGTCTCAAGCGTGATGAACTCGGAGAGCGTCAATCGAATTTCGGCCAGTTTTTTGGAAATCATGACTTCGTTGTGGAGGTACGATTTGTGCAGCGAAATGCCGGCCGCCTACATGTACATTTGCATGCATGACAATCTTGTATCCACACACATGAACGACCTCGGCAATGTAGCTCAGAAAGAGCGTGTCTTCAATCGTAAAGTCGGTGCCGTCTTGCTTGTTGATGGCCTCGACCACGGCGAGGATGTTGCCGTCCGGGTCTTTGACCGGGACGCACAAGAGCTTCTTCGTGACAAAGCCCGTCTTGACGTCCATGTCCTTGTCAAAGCACGGATGCTTTTGTGCATCGTTGGTCGTTACCACTTGGCCTATCGACGAAATGTGCGTGGCATATACAACAGTTGCGACCGGTACCGGTGCGCGCGACGAGACCGGCAATGCCACAGTCCATTGAGACGTACTGGCCCTTGGCTTCGTCGCTCGCATGAAGAATGTACAAGTCGTTCTCGCCATGGATGCGCAAGAAGAGGCAAATGCGCTCGACATGCAAGAGCTCGTACGACACGTCCATGATTTTCTCCAGTACGCGCGCTGGGTCGCCCTCCACCGAGATGCTTCGATTGAGTTTGAGTAAAATCTCAATGCGCGATTGGGCGGTCTGGCGCTCTCTCGATAGCTTGAGGTTCCAGACCTAAATCATATAAAATGCAAATAGAGTATACAATAGGTGGAGCAGGTACAGCCGAGCCCGACATGACGCAGAGGTGTTCGAGACTAGGGTAACCATGTCAAATATGATCCAAATGTCAATTCGGGTGATGTACCGCTCCTTGTCGAGGGACGTAAACACCTGATTTTGACGGTACTCGTCGGCGTGTTGGCGCTGCGTAATGACCTGGAGAGCGCCTAGAGATAATTCTCGCTCACAAAAATATAGCTCAACATATAGAGCGAGGTACCCAGCACGGTGCTATGGGCGTTGTGGATCGGAATGCACAAGAGCGAGTGCGGCGAAAAGTCGAGTTCTTCCATTTGCGCCTCAAACTGGCCAGACACGGTGACTTGCAGCGAATCCAACAGCGTATCGGTCTACAAGAATACCATGGCTTCGCAGTTCTCTCCTCATTGTACTATACCAAAAGGACGTGTCCAAACGTCGTCGAGTCGTCAATCAGCATGGACCCTTCGTCTTCGAGAAGGGGTGGTTTCTTTGTGAGTTCAAAGCTCAGCTCGTCGGTAGGGACCACATTCATCGAGTAGACGGTCATGTGTGTGCTCGTTTCGTTGACGAGCGCGAGCGAGTAGCGACGTGCAGTCACAAGGTTGCGCGCTGCGTTGAGCGTGGAGAGCACCACATCTCGGTGCGCCGTCTGGTGCGTGATCGCACGCGTCGCTTGCAGCAAGGCTTCCAGCTAGCATAATAAATCGAGTAAATTTTCAACCAAATCACACATCCCGACCTCGGACGTTTTCATCTTGAGCTTGTGGATCTCTTCGTCTTTCTTGGTCGTAGTTGGTGGCCGCGAATCCACCTCTTTCGCAGCTAGGATTTTCTCGTTGCGCTGCTTGTCCTTGATGACTTGCAGCGTAAGGTGCTTGAACCGGTTGGCGTTGACCCCGGTCGCGTTCGGGCTCTTGGACTGCTGCTGCTGCATGCTCTCAACCTTGAGCTGCTGGTCCGCGAGCTGCCGCTCCAGCGTAAAGACACGGTGGTTCATTTCATCGAGCTTTTGATGCAAGACGCGCTTCTCGCTCAGTAGCGTCTTGGTGCCATCGACCACGTTCTGCAGAATGTGCTTGGGCACGACAACCGTGCCGGACGAGGCCTCCGCGTCGCCCATACGTGCTTGAATACGCTCTGCCCAAAGCGTCGAAGAAAGGATCGAAATGTTCTCTTGTTCGGAAAAGCACGCGCCAGCGTCTCAAATATACGTGGCAGCATGCTCTGGCAACATCCTCTGCATGCGACTCTCGATCTCGCTTCTTTGACTACTGTTTGATGCATCAAAAGTCGTTGCATTCATTTATGTTTGTAGCGTGTACATCCCGTCCCCTCGGCTTGCAATCACCTCTACATGGCCAACTACAAGGCGACCGAGCTCGCAGCCGGGGCCGACACGGGTGCGGGCGTCGACAGGCGCTGACTGCTGCTGTAGGACGCCGCCCGCGTCGAGAGAGAGCCGCGGTTGAGGCCGTTCGCAGGACTATAAAACAAAAGATTGTTGTTGAAAACCCTTCCAACCTCGTGCCGTACCTCTCCACGGCCATCGTGAGTGCATCATAGAGCGGTTGCGCAGCAACGGGCGGGCGTTCTAGACTCTGTGCGTATGCACTCATGGATAATCGACGCAGGCCGTACCTCGGCCGCTGAGAAGGTCCGCCGCCGTGACTTCCTTGCCGTAAAACTCCAGGTTCACATCCGGTCGTGCGAGCACGACCGAACCTTCAACCGAAATACCGATAAAAAGTCCCTGCGTACTGTTGTTATCGACAATATATGCCAGAGTAAGTCATCGAGTACCTTTGAGTGCGAGTACGAGTAGCACGGTGCAATGCCACCAGGACCTACCCGCGTCATACGAGTGGTAACCACAAGGCGAGGCGACTACCGGCTTCCATCGCGCCTGCAGCAACACGTCCGAGCGGCCCGGCGGCAACTCCGAGCTCGGCACCCATGTTGACTTGGCCTTGGGCACAGAACGTATCAACGGCAGCTACCAAGTCGATACGCTGATGCGTCTTGCGAGGATGGAGAGTAGTGATCGTACAGCGGGTGTTGAGGATGATGACAAAGTCGGTGACACCGCCACCGATTTGGGCGCCCCAGCCAATGCCGGCGGTCGCGATGGCCGACGGCGCCGACCTAATCCCATGCACACATTGTCCATATATACTGCTCTGTGTTGTGGGGTCAACCAGGAGCCATCGGGGAGCTTGGCGATGACGAGGCCCGTGCCCACACGCCCCGTGACAACGAAGCCGACCTTGAGGACCGTCAGAAACTACGATAGAAGGTTGTCAGAGATACAAGTTCATCGTTGCTAGCACCTACGGCAATGCCCTTGGCATTGGTCAGCAATGGCAGCGGGATAGACTGGTCCTTGATGACGCCATCGTACATGAAGTTCTTGACGCTGTACGCCGCCTTGCGGATCTCTTCACGCAGTGTAAACGAGTACGGACTATGGATAGCGTTCGGACATGTCGATGGTACTATGGGCGAGTCGACCTGTTGAGGAAGCGCTTGGAGCCGGCCTCGCTGATGGAATTCGGCTGCACGGCGTTGCTGGCGGTCGCGCCTAGAGCATCATGACGCAAGGCGATGAGAAAGGTCATTACAGAGCAAGCTTTGATCGGGCAAGAGCAGCGTGTAGCACGGCTCGCACACGCGCTGCGGGTTGTATGCGTTCACCGAGAGGTACCGCTTCTCGGGGGACGTTAAAATCTTGTCGTCGCGGATCAAGCTGCGGAACGTCGTGCAGAGATCGCAAAAGACGTGGCCTACCACCGCCGAATGTCATGATGCATGCACACAAGCAGCTTCACAGGCTACCGCAGTATCTAGCCAAGGCCATGATGAGCCAAGCATGGGCGAGACAGGCGTACCGGCAATGGTGCTTGCGCCGGACCCAGTCGAAGAGGAGACCGCAGGCCTTGCAGAGAGACACCTCGGCGTCCGGGATCCAGCGGATCGTCGTTGGGACGCTAGGCTTGTCAAAGAAGGCGGCGTCCTCGGCGCGGTCGTCGCCTGCCATGCTGCACGTCGGGCTTGGATGGGTTTGGCCGTTGTTCTGGTTTCGAAAAATCCGCCGAATAACCTCTTTGATTTGATATTTGAATATGTTATCCCAGAGGTCCTTTCAAATGGTATATATCGGCGGGCTGGCTCGCAGACCTCTGACATTGAGTATTTGTATCAGCTTTATACAAGAAGCGGTCCATGCATCGCTTCGAGTCCGCCTCAGCCAGCCGGCTTCGAGTCCTGTGGAGTCCTGTGGTGTCGTTTGACTGGAGAAGAGATATATGCAATTCCGTGCTGTCATAGTGCTACATGTAATGTACTTGATTCTGGTTCATGATTCGCTTTTGTGGTCGAGAGAAAATGTACATCAAAAGAGCTATTTATGTTCCCTTGTCTAGAGTCTCTCTTCAAAACACGTGTCCCTATTTGCATCGGCTCATTCCACGCACAACTAGCCGTAGTGCATCTTACCAAGGGCCATAAATTGTTTCCCTTGATTTTACCAAGAATCGAATTCAACTCGGACCCGCAACGACGCGATGACATAGTAAATCCACACGAATCGGTCGATTGCGGGAAGCTTTGCCTTCGGCAAGAAAACTGCTAGAACGAGCTCCAACCTACAACTCGTCATTGAACGACGCTACGATTCTATTTCTTGGGGCAAAATCCGCTGCACAAAAATAGCGACGTATTTCCGGCGCGGCCTGTCTAGTGTCCAACCGAGTCGTCGCTGAAGCAGAGATGCCTCGCGTCGACCCACGCGCGTGGGTCCAAGGCCTTCGACCCGTACGTGTGCACCTTTTACCCCTGGTATTCCGTCCACCGACTCCAGCTGGGAGTTGGTTGCGCAGGACGAGAAGAAATGAGAACTGAGTGATTAGCACAAGCTTAGAGGAACTAGACCTAACCCTAAGGGGAAACCTTGAGGGAGGATCTGGGACTTGGGCTTGGGGGAATCTTGGGGCTCGGTAGTTCTTCGCGGCTGAAACCAGACTCGGGGATGCTACTTGATCATCCCAGAGTCCCACCGGTCACGACCGGAACACCGCCCCCTCCTACTTGCGAGCGCGACGCTGCTTGGACGCCTTGGGCGACACGGGCGGGAGCGCGCCACGGAATTTCATGGCGCGAGCGGGCGCGGCAGGCACATGCGGGAGCGTCTTGGAGTTATGTAAAAACATGTAGACGGCCGCCGGGACGTCCTCGAGAAGGTTCTCAAGGGGCTCCCACGTGGCTTCGGCGTCTTCAAGACCGAGCCAGAGCACTTGGAGTGCAAACGAGTGCCCGACCGGCTTGACTTGAGCAAAGCCGCGCACAATATGGCCACCATTGGCGTAGTGCGCGTGGTCTTCCAAGGCCAGCGTCACGTTGAGCGAGTTGTCCGCGTAAAAGCAGAGGCGCGATGCATGGTGCGTCGAGACGGCAAACGGAGCGACAATGTCTTCGACCTCGAAGATCCAGTCCGAGAGCACCGTGCGGATGCGCTTTGGGCCACGCCAGATGAGCGTGAGCCTCGGCAGAGGGTCCGAGACGAGGGCGACGAGCACAAAGTCGCCGACGGAAAAATTCGGGAGCTTCGACTTGGCGGCGCGGGATGCGCGAGCCTTTGAGCGCAATGCAGCAGACGTCGCAGCGACCGCGCGGTGCATATTGTCGAGGGCCGAACGGACCGCTTCGAGCTCCGCGAGCGTTGCCGCCGAAATGTCCGCCAACGAGAGGACGACGATGTCTTCAGCGACACACAAAGTGGCGCAGATCGGCGTCAACGACGGAAGGCCCGTGAAAGCAGTCATCGGAGCAAGGCCGCCGAGGCGCTCCGAGGGTTGGTGGTTCAGAGCGACTTGAACGATGGGCAAGACGACGTTCCACTCGCTGGGGTCGAGACGGCGCTCCACCAAGAGCTTCTTGATGCACACCAAGAATTGGCGGTTGAGGACCTCGACCGTGCCGTTGGCCCACGGGCTGTACGCCGTCGTGAAGTGGTGCTGGGCACCGAGACGGTCAGCCAAGAGCGCGATGACTTCATTTTTGAAGTGCGCGCCACGATCGGAGACCCACGTGTGGACGACGCCAAAAAGACCGAACCAGCGCAGAAGGCCGCGAGCGCAAGAGGCCGCCGTGGCGTCGACCGACGGGACGAACATGGAGTAAGCCGTCGCATCATCCTTGATGGTCAAGATGTACTTGAACTTCGTGGTACGCTCTTCCGGCAGCTGGAGAAAGTCGAAATGGAGGAGCTCGTTGGGCTTCGTGGCGTGCAGCTGTTCTCCGAACGGTCGCGGAATAATCCGCTGGCCGACCGAGAGGCACTGCAAGCAGCCGCGCACAAAGTGTTCGACGTCTTTCGTGAGCGTGGGCCAGAAGTAGACCTCGCGCAGCGTGTCCGTTGTCACACGAATACCACGGTGCCCCGAGGCGCCGGCATGCGCGATAACACAAAGACGCAGTTGGAGATCGGCGCAGCCCGATGGGATCCACGTGCGACCTTGAGCGTCGACGAGGCATGCCGTCGTCGGCGACACCTGCAAGCCCTCCGGCGTCGGGTGGATTGCGCTCTGCGCACGTTGCACCGCCAGAATTTCCGCGGCATCTGGCCAGACGAAGTCGGCTGCCAAAAGCGGCGCCGGCGGCGGGATCGCGAGCAAAAAGACGGCAAACGACGTCGGTGGCGCAATCATGGCTGAGGCCAAAATAGAGCGCGGTGCCACCACAGCCACCTGGAGAGGCTCGTCGGTGCGCGCCCAGCGGCTGAGCATGTCAGCCCAGACGTTGTGCTCACCCGGCACGTGCACAATCGTGTAGAGGTAGCTCGTGAGGACCATGGCCCATCGCGTTAGCCGATCCGCTTGGTGGCGCTGCATGTTGGAGTCCGTAGCGAGCGGGTTGAACAAGTACGCAAGATTGCGGTGGTCCGTGTAGACGATGAAACCTTCCGGGCGCTGCAAGATGTACTCGAGCTTCTTCACTGGCTCGACGATGGAGTACGCCTCCTTGTCGGGAATGGGCCAGTGTTGCGAGGAGCCCGCAAAGCGTCCGCTCAAGTACGCGAGCGGTTGATGACGCTGATTGGCGAGAGGCAGCTCAGCATCCTCGGGCGGCGTCTGCGTGACAACCGCACCCCAAAAATGGATCGAGGCGTCCGAGAAGAGGCTGACCACATAGCCAGGCATTGGGTGACCCAAGGGTACCATGTCGAGCAGGGCTTGCTTGACCAAGTTGAAACACACGGAGTGCACACGCTCCCAGCCGCAACGGTCGAGAGGGATCTTGGCGAGCTTGATGCCCTTTCGCGAGCCAGCTTTGGAAGCGGCGTTGTCGAGAAGCTTCAAAAGAGGAGCCACCAAGCGCGAGAAGTGCGGAATATGCCCGCGCATCCAGTTGGCGCAGCACAAGAACGTTTGTAGCTCGGCTGCTGTCGTCGGGGGCGCCATATCCACGAGGCCAGCCACACGAGCCGGGTCATGGGCAATACCACTTTGCGTGATGACCTTGCCACACCACTTGGCTTCGCGGACAAAGAAAGAGCACTTGTTCGGGTGCAACTTGAGGCCAACGCGGGCGCAGATCTCGAAGACGCGCTCCAAGAGCGTCAAGAGACCATCGATGGTCGACGAATAGCCGAGGATGTCGTCGAGCCACGCGAGGATGCCTTGGTAGAGCAAGTCCTTGAACATGTACTCGACCGTCGCCTGGCAGTAGCCCACGCTGTCACTACCACCCATGGAGACCCGCGTTGGCGTGTACATGCCACGATGCGTCATGATCGTGAAGAATTCTTGGCTGTTGGGCGCCAAAGGTAGCTGCCAGTAACCGCGGAACCAGTCGAGCATGAAAAAACACTCGGAACCGCCGAGGTAGCCGAGAACGACGTCGAGTTGGGGCATAGGCCAGATGAGGCGCTCTGTGCGCGCGTTGACTGCACGCGTATCGACCGTCATGCGCAGCGTACCGTCGGGCTTGGGCACCAAGCGCGGCGGCGAGGCCCAGCGGCTCGCCATGTTTCGGTAGATCAAACCCGCTGCTTCGAGCTCGGCACAATGCAACTCGAGAAACTGTTGCTGCGTCGGGGAATAGCGACGCGCCACCGTTTTGGCCGGCGTCACACCCGGGAGCAGACGGACCTCAAGCGGCGGCACCTTGACCGGCGGATCGGAGCCAAAGCTCAGACGAAACACGTCTTGGTACTTGGCCAGCATGTCGGCTAGGCGCTGCAGATCGGCGCCAGCTAGACCCCAGTCCGCTGCCATTTGGAGGCGTACGGCGAGGAGCGCACGGACCTTGACGGCATCATGGGCGCCAAGGCGCGGGAGCTCGACTCGACTATCGGGATCCAGATCGTCATCGCGCGGGACGGCGGCATCGAGCGGTGCTTCCGAGCGCACCGCCTGTGGTTCCGACGACGCGGGCGGGTCCGGTAGCTCGTACGTCGTGCGATCCGGATGAAAAACCTCAGCGCCGTCCGGGAGCGAAACGTAACCAGCCGCGACCGTCACGGGCACTTGGGTGAAAGACGGCAGTAAGTCTCGCTCCATCAAGGCGGCTGGCAACAGGTCGACCGACGCGGCCAGCTGCTGGGCCGTGTCGAGCAGGTCCGCCGTAGAGTAGCCCAGGCGCTGCATGACCGAGCGGGCCAGGATGACTCGCGGCGTTGCCGACTCATCGTCGACCACGTAGGCTTGGAGGTTCTTGAGCGTAAGCTTGCCTGCAGCTGCGTCAAGGGCCAAGATCTTGATGAGGACCTGGTCCGACACAGTCGTAGGTGCGCCCGTGAACGATTCGAGCACCAGCGGTGTCGTAGCGCGCAGCGTGCAGTCGCCGCCCTTGGCAACGAGCTGCGTGACCAAGGTCTTGTTGACGATGCTGAGGTCGGCCCCGCTGTCGAGCAGCACGTAAGGCACCTCCAAGAGGTCGTCGACGCAGCCTGTCACGTAGCCCGTAGGCGCATCCAGTGCGGTGCCGTCACTCGCCGACGCATGGGCCAGCACAGCGCTAAGGTTAAAACGCGCAGTGCGGCGAGCCGTGTCACCACTGAAAGCGTCGTTCATACGCGCCAGATTGGCACGCAGGTTGTTGTCGTTGTAGACCGGCGGGGTGTAGGTCATGTTGGAGCGAGAGGCCTGGATAGGGCGACCCTCGTGACCCCCGCGGCCACCATAGCCACCGCGACCACCGTTGTGGCCCCGACCACCGTTGCCGCGACCACCGTTGTTGCCACGACCTCCACCGTTGTCACGACCACCACCGTTGCCGCGGCCACCGCGTCCATAGCGTTGAGCGCCGCGATCGTCACGACGCGAGTGCTGCTGGCGGCCATGCATTTCGTCGGCTTGGTCACGCTGTTGACGAGGCGCTTGCAGCGCATTGATACCACGGTTGGTGGCACCCATTTCGGCCCGTTCCCACCGCATGTAGGACGTGAGCGACGCCATGAGCCAGCGCAAAAAGTTTACCACGTTGGACCGCAACGGCTTGAGGGACGTGCGCTTGAGCTCGTCCTCGATTGAGGCCTTGAACGCGGGCGGTGCGAGAGCGGCGATGAGGTAGCCTGTCACTCGCTTCTGCTCTTCCTTGAGAAAAAATTCCATCGAGAGCTGTTCGAGCTGGCGAACTAGCTGCTGCATGAGCGTGTTGAGACGACTTTCCGGGTCAGCGTGACGGGTGCTCATACGGAGGTTCGCCATGGCCTTGTCGACCCGAGAGTAGTCGATGATACCGACAGCGTTGCCGGCATCGAAATAAGCGCGCCAGTGCTCCTCCGTGATTTCCTCAAGTGGACGGAACATCTCAAACGACGCGATGGTGCGGCGGCGCTCGTCCGACACACACGCACCCAGGTGCATGATCACAATGTCGACACCTTGTTGACGGAGAGCCATGCAGGCCCACCAGTACTGCTGATACTCGCGCATCATCTGCTTCTTGTCAGCAGCCGTCGTCCCGACGTAAAGCGGCGGTGTCGGCGGCGTCGGCGCCGTGCGATACACAGCACCAGGCGTTGGCGCGGGAGGCACGTACGCAGATTGGGGCGCTCTTCCTGGTGAAGGCGCAGCCGTCGCCGAGTACTGGCCCATCGAGACGTCCGATGCGATCGAGTCACGTTGATGAGGGCGAGGGTTGGCAAACGGACCTTGGGCATAGCCGGCCGGGTCGTAGCCATCATTGTTGACGGCCATGCCCGAGAAAGCATAAGCGAGGCTGGCGTCCGAGTCGCGGCGCACGCTGCCCGGCGAATCCGGGAGAGTGGGAAGGCCGCTCGGTACTTGAGTTGGTTCGGCGATCGGCGAGGCCTCGTCGATCGGCGGAAAAATGCGACCAGCGGTCGACTTGGGCGTGTTTGGCTTGGACATGTCGATGTTTTTGTTCGTTTCTTCCTTGGTGAAAAAACTAGTTTTATTCCGTCCACCGACTCCAGCTGGGAGTTGGTTGCGCAGGACGAGAAGAAATGAGAACTGAGTGATTAGCACAAGCTTAGAGGAACTAGACCTAACCCTAAGGGGAAACCTTGAGGGAGGATCTGGGACTTGGGCTTGGGGGAATCTTGGGGCTCGGTAGTTCTTCGCGGCTGAAACCAGACTCGGGGATGCTACTTGATCATCCCAGAGTCCCACCGGTCACGACCGGAACACCTGGGTCTCTCGTCACGCCTTATCGTCGGCTGGCCGTAGCCGGCTACAAACTCCGCGTCGGGTGGCAACAATATGCCTCTTCCGCCATCGGTCGGTCATCGCCTCGTCTGCACAGAATGTACATGTGCTGTAGACGTTGGGGTCGCCGTCCAGGGGCGTCTCGGGCAAGCCGTCGGACAAGAGACGTAAAAAGCTCGAGGCGTTTGGACGCATTTTCTCCAACCTCCTCGCGGGTGGGCTCATCTTGCTCTCCCTGTTGACGCTTATTGTGCTCATCAATGAAGTACGATACTCTCGATTGTCATGGACTGGAATTAGGTTCAAATGAACCGTTTAAAATACTCGTAGGGCATGTTTTCCCGGCTCGTCATCTCCAACAACGCGCAGTCCGCCGCGTACTTTTGGTCCGACTATGGCAAAGCGTGTAAGCTCACACATGAGGGCTGGCTCGCGCAAAGCTGCTCGCCAAATGAAATCGATACGACATCGCCGGTGGTCTGGGCGTCCGTCGGCGAGCGCCTCGCGGACCAGTGGTCGTTGGAACTCGCCCAAGGTCACCCACAGCACGGCTATGACGCGTCAAGAGCTTTCCTTTTGTAGGCACACCGCTGTTTGTGTCGACGTGTGTCGTGGGTGGCAACAAGGCTGTCGGGTGGGGCGTTCTCGTCTTCATAGCTGGCTACACCACGTATCCCAACTGCATACCTCTGGATGGTCCGCAGTTGATTGCTGGTATTGCCTTGTTGGAGACGACCGTAATTTAAGTGTTACCAGACACGAGGAATCCAACGACCGATACATTAGGTTCGCAACGATCAAGGCGTCTATCTCCTTACCCTCTACTCGGACCTCAACACGACGATGCAGGTCACATGGGTTGAGCTCTAGCCGCTGTAAAATGCGTTTTCTTAGACAGTGCACAAGTACACCAACTCGGATGGCACGCAACAAGACGTGCTACCCGATCCATTGCGCACGGTGCTCTCAACCGACGGCAGCTATGGCTACGATGCAACGGGCGAAGACTTTATCATTTTATCGATGCCCCTCGGCGTACGGTATGCCGCGCCGCCGCGTAATTGATTTATTATGACAATGTGATGTCTTATGTACACGGTCAACGTCTATTGCCTGTCTCAGATGGAGGTCGTCTCCGACTTTGGGCTGCCCGGGTGGAGCCAAGGTTCGTGTTTCGTACGATGTCAAGTCTTGTTTCCACGTCGAGCGCAGGCAAGCACGGAGGCGTCCCACTCAGTCCTGCGTGGGCCTGCGGCAACGAGATCGACAACGCGTCCGAGCTCATTGCGTTCCAAATTCTGCTTATCGTTCTGACTGTGCTGGCGCTTAACGGCGACGTTTACATCACCTTTGAGGGTACTATATCCTCCCATTCAACTATAAACTCTAGTCCTCTTTCAGGCATCCGAGGGCTCATTGCGGGCAAACCCGTCCTCACCTACGCCGTGCTCTCGGGTCTCGAGCGTCGCAAGGTCCGTCCGTTCTTGGTGTAAGCGAAGACTTGAGTCGAGTTACGTAGGTGCTAACATTGCTCATTGCTTTGAACGCGGCGCCGTCCCTCTTGTACCTGGACGTCGCACGCATCTACGTGTTTTCCGCCAACGGCGACAAGATCTGGTGTCTCTCGTGCCTATTGGTGGCAACTTTTGTCTCATTTACACTCCTCGCGGGTCTCAGGTACTTTTCTTGAATTGATGATCGTTCAATGGTGCGGTGGGTGTAGTCTACTCAGCGCCGTACCGCTGCCATTGCCAACCAAGTGTGTTGCGTACTCGGCCCCAATCTTTCTCTACACGTCGATCGTGACAGTCTCCTGGACCCTCAGCTCCAACACAAATTTCATGAAGGCCAACAATATGCTCTTTGCGGGCGCGGCCGAGCTAGGTACGCACGCGTCATGCAAATCAACCATATCCTATCGAAACGATTTGGTTTCTCCGTTGGTATACTTTAGCCATGAATTTCAACGGCGTGTCATGGCCCAGCGGCTCGTATGTTCCGTACGGCGTCGCGACGGTCGTTGAGCTCTTCCCGCAAGAGATTCTCTATCCGGTCTTTGGCTCGCTTCTCTTCTCCATAAGTGTTGCCACCTTACGACTCTACTGGTCGACCCATGCGTACGTTGGTTTTCATTTTGACGTGTTTCTTATGCTTCTTATTTTTCCTACTTCTCTTTCTTGTTTTCTTCTTATTGATCGTATTGGTGTATCGCATTAGGCTCGTCTTGAACCTCGAGTGGTGTGCGTCGAATGGGTTCCTATCGCACTGCACCGTGCCGCGCGTGCTCACGTCGTTGCCGCTGCACCCGTCGCAAGCCATCAAGATTGGCAACAAGATATTTTGTCGTCCGAGGTCCGATCGAGTGCATGTAATATGTCTCACGGAGTCTATGTAATTTCAGCACGATGGCGCTGCTGGGCTACGCGTCCGTGACTGAAACCGAGTACGTGGCACATGGAGCGTGATGATGACGTGATGATGACGTGTAGAAAACACTCGTTGGGCGTCGTGCCCTACGACCCCAAGCCCCACAAGGTGACGGAGACATACGTCGTTAGTGTCTACTGGCTCGGATTGGCCATGCTGCCGACGACCTTTGCGTGGCTGCGCCCCTCCGTGGCCGGTGTCGTCGTTGAGAACCACTTTAAAGTCCAACGACAGCCGCGAACGGCCGAAGCCCTCGACCGCGACCACGTGTACCGCTACACCCGCGGCAACTGCGTCACATGACTTTATATTATATATATTCTGTACACTATCGTCTACTACATTTCGAGGATGTGGCGCGTTTTACTACAATGATGCGGCGTGGTCGCATCACGCAGGCAGGTACATACTCTGTTTTGCTCAACCCATAATACTCTGTTTTGCACCAGCCACAGGTCATACTCTTTCGAGATGCGAGTTCTCAAAAACGTCTATGCGTTAACCGAAAATGTGCAAACAAAGAGCTAGTAGATGCGTTGGACCACCGGCGTCGAGGCCGACGAGATATACAACGAGGGTTGCGTCCTTGGGTGGCGGTTCATGCAGACAAATACCATATATGTCATTCTATCGCCAAAGACAGGATGCCATCTCTCAACACAGCCGTCCATGCGCTGTGGGCTCGTTGGTGATCGCTGCATGGTGTATGAGCGACTAGGAATATCAATGCACCGACTAAAACTATCGACGCACCGACGTTTAGGACACAATGTAGCCATTGACTAAGTTAGTAAACAAATCACTTTTTGAGAAGCGGCGTCACGAATCGAAAGGGCACCTTGCGCTCGGGGCAGTAGCCGACTTCGTCAGCGTCATCGTCAAAGCATACGACCACGTACAGCGAGCCCTAGCACAATACCAGCATGTCACAAAGGTCTGCATCGAGAGAAGACTGTACTGGTGGGTTGGGAATGACAACGACGGCTGGGTAAAAGCTCGTCGTACTCGGGTACATGGCGAGGACTTTTGGTTCCACTTGAACGAGATCCAGTTGTGGACCTCTTCTTCGCGCGGGAGCGGGATCATCCAGTCGCGGGGCACGAGGTGGTGGCGCTTCCCTTCCGTATCTTCGTCGCCCGAGTCTTCGTCCTCGACTTCGTACAGCCGCGTCTTGGCGTCTTGCCGGACGACCGACGCGAGGATCCATAGCTCGTGGCTGCGCGCCACGCGGGCTGCGACCTGCGCGCCGATGGCAATGTCGGTCATCGTGGGCACCTCGGCGTCGTCCTTGGCCTTGGGCGACGACGACGCCTTCCCGCTCTCGAAGAGCCCGGCCTTTTGGTCCAGCTCGACAATGTTGATGGCCGCGCCTAGCTGGCGGTGCTGGAACTCGAGCTCGGCGACGCCCTTCGCGAGCAGCTCGCGCAGCTTGGCCGCGTACCGTCGCCGGCCCGAGACGTCGCCGGCGCGCTCCTTCTTCTCGAGCTTGGCGTAGACGCGCCGCAGCTGCCGCGCGAGACTGTCCATCGGGTTGTCGAGCAGCTGCGTCCGAATGATCTCGTGCACGGCTTCCTCCGACGCCGCCATGCTGCCACCGACAGCGAGAATCCGAAATACATCCGGATTAGGACTTGTCCTGGTTTCATTCTAGTCGTTTTCCATTCCACTACCGAAAAAGTACTAAACGACTAAAATTTGCCAAAACCCACCAGCAAAAGCAACCTGACGAGAACCGACCACCCGCTCGCACGAGCACGTCGAACCAAGTCAACCTCGTAATATATATATATATATGTAGACGCAGCCGCTTGGTTGCATGGGAGCTCCACAAGTTGGTGCGACTCTCCCATTGTCCGTTGCGCCATAGGTTCTTTTAACGAGGGTCCTGGTGTTGTGTCTTCTATCGAGGCATGTTGCACCACGCAAGTCGACAATTGAGGCTTGACCGTCATCATGCTGCCTCGCGTCGTCGGAGGTCTCTACGCCGCCGTCGCCGCCGTACTGCTGCTCTCCGCGCCCGGCCTTCGGGTCCTTGGCGACAGGATACCACTTCGCCCATACTCGTCGTGCCGGATCATCGTCGACGCCGGCTCGTCGGGCACCCGCTTCTTTGCCTTCCCGTCGCCGAGCGTACCCGCCGCCGATACTTTTGCGCACCTCACGCCTGGCCTCAGCGAGATCGCGCCGCTGCAAGCGTATGCGTACATGCGCCAAGCACTGTACGAGGTACGCGCCAGCCTCTGCGCCGTGCGACAGGCCATCGACGGCGACAATGCACTAGGTCCAAGCGTCGCTGGCCCCCGAGATGCGATCCCGATGCTTTGTCCATATCTACGGCACGGCTGGCATGCGCGGCTTGGAAGCTTCGCAGCAAGCCGAGCTCTACAACCAACTGTACCTCGATCTCAAGAACGACGCGACTATGGCGCTGCCGTTAGGTATCGCTGCTGCTCGGCCCACGGGAATGGCTCCTTCATGTCTCGTCATGTAGAGCGAGTGCATGTACGCACCATCTCGGGCGACGACGAAGCGTTCTTCCTAGCCATGGCGGCCAACTATCTCGATGCACGTGTCGAGAGCGACCTCGCGCCCAGCAACGTCGACCTCTTTGGTGCCCTCGATCTTGTGCGTCGACTGTGCAATGACAACTCGTCCGAGATCATTGAACATACTGTCGCTATAGGGCGGCGGCAGCACACAGATCGTTTTTGACGTCAAGGAGCGCTGGCGCCAGAACGCGCGGCGCAAGGCCATGCCGCATCAAAAGACACTCAACGCCAGCGAGTTTTTCCTGCATTCGTTTGCCAACTACGGCACAAGACACATGCACGATCAAGTACGCACCTTGTCTTAGCTGTTCTCGCGTCGCATGCTTGCGGTATGTAGGTGCTGCAGTCGATCGTAGCCAATGCCTCGACGAATCACAGCGCCAACGCGACCACGTCGGTCGAGATGCTCGCCAACCCGTGCTACTTTACAGGGTACACCAGCGGCAACCAGACGGGCACGGGCCACGCCGCCGAGTGCCTCGATCTCCTGCAATCGCTCGTGGCACAAGAGAACGCCAACTGCCCTAGCGGGTCATTTTGCGCACTCCAGTCGGTGGTACTGTGTCTTGACCCTTGGGATGGTGCCTGTGGAAGCCTGCATGTAGCCACAGCCGCCCGTGACAGGTGCGTTTTACGCCGTGAGCGTCTACTACCTCGCGACCGTCTTTGCGCGCGACGTTGTGAGTCGCATCGCACCGACATTGAGCTACGGCTGGCCGGCGCCGTCCCTCGAAGAGATCGAAGCGGTACGAGCCTTTCGATTGGATTCCATCAGCAGAATGCACCACATGTATATAGGCGACCCACTTAGTGTGCAATACGCGCTTTGACGAGCTTGCCACTTTTGAGCTCAAGCATACCCCCAAGGAGATGCTGCCCCGACGCTGTCTCGACCTTTGCTACGTCACGACGCTTTTGCGTGCGTACGGCTTTGGTCTCTCGGAGCGCCGGGTCGTCTTTGTCGATCGCATACGAGGTACATGGTCGTTGAGACAAGAGGTGGAATCGAACTGGACTAGGCTCGCCTTTGGTGTGGGCGACGGGGGCGTACTTGATGGACCACGCGCTGGCCTCGACGGCCTACGCCGAGGCGCTTGTGAGCTACCTCTCGCGCCAAGTCGAAGTCGGGCTCCCAATCGGGTGGCATGTGGCCCTGCTGATGCTCACGATGGCAGTGTTCGCACTCGTTCTCACGGTGCACCGCGCGACGGGCCGGCACGGCTCGACGCAAGCCATCGAGTTTGTCGGGGACCCGCGTAAATAGACAATGCGAGTGAGTTGTGCGATAAATTGGGAAGCCTGTCTGTGGTCGTCTTGGGCCAAGCCAATCGAGAGCATCATAAAGCGTGCGACGAAAACATGTCGGAGGTCTGTGGCCACGTGTGGTTGGGGTAGGGGTAGGGTAAAGTCAAGTATGCCAACACCAACGAGTTGAACACCGAGCAAGACATAGATCAAAAACCAATGGTTCAACTCCAAATCTGGACATGGCCAGAAATGACGAGCGCGATCCAGTCGAGGCGGCCCACCCGCTTTCTGATAGGCTTCGGTTGGCAGTGATCGCGAAATGGTATCCGCGGGAGCCGTAAAAGGCATATCGCATGTACCCCTGGTTGCATGCATGCGTTGCTACCGCTATCTCATGAAACAGTGCCCAGTCAATATCGTCGCAAGTCGACGCGACAGAGTGACCGGCCAATTCTGGAAAAGCGAACGTTCCAAGAGTACCAGGGTTGAAGCGCTACAGGTGCCATCGGCATAGCATTACCTATTACCTCGACGTTCGTTTCGCCTCATGTACCCACATCGCCGCAAGGGCGACCAAAATGACCCTAACGTTAGATCATCAGTACTATCCGAATCCTTATCCATCCACGGTGTGCAGTGACCGCTACTCGTTCCGTCTCTTGCTTGCGACACACTGGTATGTACATGCGAGTGCCATCGCGAACGAATTGTATCCCAATATGGCGCGTACTGTGACGTGCGGTCTCTGCGGCGGTTTCTTCTCTGCCAACAAGTCCTGGATCGACCACAGACGTCGCCAAACGACTCGCTATGTCGTCGTGGCTAGAACCATTGGCCAACGAATCACGCGTCAAGTATGTCGTGCGAGCTTGGTTCGTTCAAGGAGCATCTTGAATTCATTGAAGTCATTGCGTTCGAGGAGCGTCGTCAGAGTGTGGCCAGCGCCCGTCCACATCTCGTTGTCGGATCGCCACGATGTGGACTTCAAGCACCCATGCCATCAAAAATATCTCTACCGGTAGTCCTTACGGACTGTACGGACTTCATAGACCAAGCAAGTCGGACGGCAGGCTCCGACGAGTCTCTTCATTTCCACGCGTCTTTAGCTTGTCATAGTCATGGCACTTGACCGTGTACGGTAATGACGCTCAGCCGTAGCACTCGCGGCGCGCAACAGTAGAGACGCTTTTGAGAAAGTGTATTGACCAAAGTTGCACTTTGGACACGTCGCGTCATGATGGGTGCGGCAACACGAGTGTCCTCATCAGCGCCCCTCGCCGCTTAACAAGAATGTGCTCATTGGTCGCTATGCATTCACTATTATTTATTGGACATCGCTTCGTAGCTCGGGCACAAATGCCACCCGCGTTGCTTCTATGGACCTGAACTGCATTGAAAAACGAAACTGCAAACTGGATGTGACCGAAGGATACCCAGGTTGGTGACACATCCTAGTCAGCCACATCCAGCACATCCTATGGCCGTGCCAGTGGCACCTGCGCCACACAAACCGGACACGACCACCGGGCAAAT